ATCACCAAAATTTTGCCAAGACATTTTACCCGTTGCCCTCTCTGTCCCTGCACACCCTTTTCCGCTGAACCACTGGCGGTAAATAGTTCGACTGTACACAGAGAGGAGCTCTGCTGATGGGTGAATGGGAGTTCAAACCCACCAGCTACTCCACAGGAGAAAGACATGGCCTTCTACTGTAGATTGACACTCTCGGGAGCGCCACGTGGCAGTTCCACTGTACTCTTGTCTATAATTAGTTACAACTTAAGCTACCTCCGTCCCACATGGCTTAGACAATTTGTGTTTAGTCTTGAGTGTTTTATACCTTATATAAGATCGCTCTGAGCTGTTGGGGGAGGGGGGAAAGCATTTCACTTTCTGAACGTACCATTCTTTCTGACAGGCGATCTGCACAGAAGCTGGGCTCATGGCCTTGAGAGAACGGAGAATGAAAGTCACAAACGAAGACTTCAAAAAATCGAAAGAAAATGTTCTCTATAAGAAACAAGAGGGCACCCCCGAGGGACTCTATCTCTGAGCGAACATATGCCCGGGACAAGGGCCCAGAGGATCCATATCCCGTTGAATTTTAGTAACCAAACAGTGCATGCCCAGCGGGCTTCCCCGTCGGTCGGTCAGCGTGCAGTGTGTTCCAATAAAGCTACTCTTTCGGAAACCCTCTGTCCTCTTTCCAGAGTCTGCACTCTGCCACCCAGCAGCCACCTAGTGGGAGTCTGGGGTTGGGAACCTCTCGGGCTGGTGGTCATAGGAGCACAGATCGCCCCTGTGGCCCCCAAAGCCAGCTATCTGAGTTGTGCAGCAGTAATTAATGGGAGAGAGCAATCCTGACCACGTAGCAGGAATCTTGTTGTTAAATAATAAAGGCAGAAGTAACATGGTTGGTGTTTCCTTTGGAAGTTTTGTGGCCCCTGTGAATTTTCTGTCATCTGGGGACAGGAAAGAAGTACTGATGCTCTCAAGAGACTGGGCTTCCTCAGGAAGCCTTGGGTGCAGGCCTGGGGGAGCACTCACCCCTTGCAAGAGTCCAGAATCATCATTGCTTCCACTTGGGGCCACCCTTCTGGCTCTTCATTCCTGTCCTCTGAACAGCTTGGTCACATGGCAGCACACACTAGCCGGTGACCATTGTGGAGGTGGCGCAGGAGAGGACAAGGTTGTTCATAGGGTCTCTGAGTCACAGTCGACTATGACATCCAGCAGTAACATTCTGTCTGGAAGGAAGCACTTTGGTGTAGTGTGTAAGCACCTGGATGTTACAGAAGGTGGGTGGTTCAAAGCTGCCAGCCGCTCTGCAGATGTGGCAGGCAGCTGTTAACAGAGATTGGAAAGCCTTTGGGGCATCTACATCCCTGTGGGGTGACTGACTCGGAACTGACTACTGCAAGTTTGACTTGAACTTTTACATAGTGGTTAATTCTCTGTGACTTTAGTGACTGAGTCATCGCAATCCACTTTCCAGCCGATCTAAGCCTTGCCTGAGTCTGCCACCATCCTCATCTCTGCTGACCTCATGGTGTCAGTACACCTCACCCTTCTGCCTTTCCAAGACCTCCCAGCCATTGGCACCTGGTGACAGCATGCCCGGAGAAGGAGACTTGGTTCTGAAGAGCGCTCTGGTTGCACCTCTTCCAAGGCAAGAATGTTGAATCTTTGGGTAGGCCACCGTACTGCCAGAGTCTTCGCCGACACCGCGGTTCAGAGGCGGCAGCTCTTTGGTCTTAATTGTTGTCCAGCATGTTGCGAGTTTATTGTTTAAGCCCCTGCCTTTGACTTCTGCCGTACAGCAGACTGTGTGGGGGAGCGTGCACTTAGGATATGTAGACAGCTGATGGGATTGATGAGTCTCGCCATCCCACTGTCTTTAAATCCTATTAGCAGTAGGAATAATGGCCAGTTTCACTACCAGAGCACAGCAGATGGCTGTGACAGCAGTGTAGAACCAGAGACTGCTAGCCCACAGCTAGAGCCGAAGGCCTTGACCTGAACTTCACTGAGGGGGCACCCACAATTGCTGGACTGACTGTGGATGGCCTAGTGGTAAGGCGCTGTGCTGCCAACCCAAAGATAGGCAGTTTGAATCCCCTGGCTGCTCTGCAGGAGGATAGGCAGTTGCCTCCTATGCCTCTGAAAATCTAGACAATCAGCCATGAGTTAGTCTTGACTTGAGGGCACGTAATTGTGACACATAAGCCAAGAAGCTTAAGTTCAAAGCCTGCAAGATACTAAGGGCACCTGAGAGGCTGAAGAACTCTATTGCCAACCTGAATCAGAATCACAACCTATTAACTTCCTAACAAACCCCATTAATCAAAGTATGGTTCTGTGAGGTAGGTGTTGCCACTGCAAAGGATCATGGAACCCAGTGTAATCCCTGAAGGGGTGATTCCTGTTAGAACTGGTAGGAGTAGGTGAAGGGCCTGTCTGGCCCAAGAGCCGATTTGTTCTGTGGACACTGTTGGTGGAGGCAAGTCTTTGGGGAGCTTGAGGTCAGACTCCCCAGGCACCAGCACGGTGTCAGTTTTCACGAGCATGTGAAGCAAACGGCATGGCTTTAGTCACCTTGGTATTTAAAATGACATTCTTCAGGGAGGTCCTGCACGGCATATTTACCCAATGCCGTACACACACGTATATTGTTATGTACCATCTGCTGAGACAACCCACAGTGACCCTATGAACGACCAGATCTGAACCCTGGCCTGGCCTGCGCCACCCTCACACTTCCTGACACACTGGGGCCCGGTCTGGCCGTCACCGTGTCAGTCCAGCTGGTGGAGGTTCTTCCTCTTGTCACTGACCCTCCACCTTTCCAACCATATGAAGGGAAATCCAAAGTCTGTAAATTTTCATTATAATTAATAATAAAACTAGTACTGTTTAAGCAATAAACTTGCCGTGATTGATTCCAACTCAAAGTTACCCTGCAGGACAGAGAATTGACCCACAGAGGCTGTAATCATTACGGAAGTGGACTGGCCACATTTTTCTCCCCGAGAGGCTGGCCAGCTCAAACTCTGACCTTCCACTTACCCGCTGAATGCTTAACCACCAGGGCTCCTCCCACTGCCCCCGGTGGGCCCTCTGCACTGCCTGTTCTGGGCCTCATGGAGGTGAAGCTCACACAGTATTTACCCAGCAGCGTCTCAGTTCACGCAGCAGGTTTTCAAGGTAGCTTCTCTATCACAGCAATCAATCACTCATTTTTAAAATAAGTTTTCAACATTTTATATTTTACTAAACTTGTTTTCATTCAAATAAATTCCCTTCCCTCTGCATTTTGAAGTAAACATTAAGATTCATCAAACTATTTTTTTCTAAGCCTCTTCCTACTCTTGTAAAATGCTCCTTTGTTTTAGTCCTGAATCCAGATTTTCTGGGCCAATTTTTCCAGATGTACACTCAGGCCAACAATACGCACTCAACACATTTTAATTATTCACAAAACTTAGAAAGTGCAATGTGGGCTGCTGTGTCAGCATCCACATTGAGTATTTCATTTTCCCTGGCTTAATCTTGATAGCCTACATTTCTTATGTTACTTGAATCAATAACAAAATGCTGTGTGTGGTTTTTCCCCCTTTCAGTTTTAGTCTCATATTCCTAACAGTCTAATTTTTCCAAGTTACTGAGTAAAACCTCCTTGAGGGACTGATGGTGGCCTCAGCAGAAGCAAGCACTCAGCCTAATGCCGTATTTTTTCTCTTTTTGGATCCTAAATCACTTTTCCCCAAAAATTGTGCTAAATACTTATAGGAATCCCCTGCTATCTCAATGTGGTGTGATCCTATGAAACCTACTGTAAACCACAAAGGTATAAAAGTGAAGACGAAATTACTATTAATTTGTATCAGGAAAAAGTTTGTGTTCCCAGATAACCGAACCAGTATCACAGACAAGCTAATGGAACAGTCCCCAGCTCAGCTCCTGGCCGACAGCTCGGCACTGAGCGGGAATCCTCGGGACACGCTGCCTCTTCAATGGCTCCCCCAAAAGCTGAGCATGAATTCTCTGCTTTCTGCACCAGTGAGGATCCTCTTCAGGTCGCCTTTCCTTTAGTGAAAACAAGATGATGAAAACAGAACTTTCCAAATTCTATTTATACATATGCTTAAGAACCAGCCCACTGCACATTCTGCGCACGTCGGTGACGCCGCGTTGATGGAGCTATGCAGTCTCACCATTATATGTTCCCAGAGTGTCTGCACCTCTATAGCTGATCAACACCTCGTCGTGTGGCTACACGGCACTTCGTTTACCAGTCGTCCGATGACGGCACTTGTGCTGTTTCCACCTTTTCATTCCCGCGAGCAGTGCCCCAGTGACCACGGGTGTGTACGTTCCTGCTTTCACATCTCCAGGGACACGTCTAGGAGTGGAACTGCAGGGTCTGCATTTCTAACAGGCTCTCAGGTAAACGTGTTGGCCTACAGAAGGCATCACCTGACCACCAGGACTGACTGATGAGAAACTGTGGACAGTTCACTGAGGTCAGAACACTTGGTGACAGGGCTCAGACGGCAGAGCCAGCTTTCCCGTGAAGATGACAGTGAAACAGGATCCTACAAACCCACCAGGGAGAAGGTGCGAGTGTCGAGTGATGACTCTGTGAGGCCAATCCAGAGACATTCCCAATTACTACTGTAAGACCCCCGTGGACGTGGCGGTCCCCCCAGGCAGCAGTGAGGGGACAGGATCACCATGGCAAAATCAATAAGGATTCACACGGCTTCAACCACCATAGGTTTAATGATCACTCGGCATAATTATCCATCTCTGTACATAAACACATATATAATATGTAAAACAAGCTTTTGTGTCATTTACCCACCTGAAGATCCAAGATGTGGGAGACTTACAGCCTAGACACAAACGGTCAGGAAGAAATAGAAGGAGAGTCCTAGTGCGCAGACACGATGGCGTCCGCCCAGCTCCCCGCCCAGGCTCCTCTGCGCTGACCATGGCCCTCGGCCGTCCTCCCCCGGCCGTCCTCCGGCTCTCTAATCCTCCAGCAGGAGCTCCAGCTCCTCCAGCAGCAGGCGCACCCGCAGCTCCTTCTCGGTCATCAGGTCCACGATCTCCTGCAGCTCGTCGGGGAAGTACTCCACAGCATCCATGTACAACACCTGCGGGCGGGGGCAAGCCCACCCGGTTAGCCACTTCCGCTCGGCCGGGGGCGCGCCCAGGCTCCTGGTGGGCCTCTGCCCTCCACAGCCTCAGACAGGCTCCAGTAGGATGCAGAAGCCCCCAAAACAGGCTAGATGAGGAACACTCCCAGGGAGGCCGCCTCTCCCAACGGGGGGGCCGGGAGCTGTGAGCAGACACTGTGGTCACCATCAGTTCAAGTGTCTGACTGGGCTCCCAACTCAGCTGGGCAAGTCAGCTCCCCACAGGACCCCATCTCATCCCATGTGCGACCTCCCAATCCCACTGCCCGGAGGGACACAAGGGCCAGCACCACTGGGGCAGTTTCACTACAGAAGTGGTCGCCAGTGAGTCTGCTGAAGGGCGGGATCCTGGTGTCCAGAGCTGCAGCCCAGATGACACAAGGGCAGACAGGCCTGAAACCTGAGGCCTGTGGGCAAGAGACACCACCACAGCCTGTAGAACTCACCTTGACCCAGGGACAGTTCTGAAGGGCCTTGTAGAAGATTCCTTTGCTCCTTTCTTTATTTCCTAAGGAAACCTGAGACAAGGGAGAAAACCCACAAAAATATCTCAAACAGAGAGCCAAAGTACAGAAATACCTGCTGTCCTCACCTAAGCTCGGGCCTGCCAGGCGTGGGCTCCACATTCCACAGATGCTCTTGGGCTCTAGGTGGGGCCCCTTCTCCTCCACAAGGGGCCCAGGAGCACTGACCTCACAGGACCCCTATCTTCTAACGTACTGTGCAGTGTCATATTCTGACATTAGCTACATTACACCAATACTATCAATTTTCTTTCAGAGCAATGAGATGACCAGGATTATACACCAATAATCTTACTAAGTACAACTTTCAGTCAGGAATCCAGCAGCCTCACTTGGTATAAACTTCTTTGTCTCACAGACCCAGGACGCTCCAGCCTGGGTGTAGGAGCAGCAATGGCCTGTCTCCCACTGCACAGGCCTTCTCCAGTCTGTCCCCCAACCCCTAGGTAGGTCCTTCCAGCCTGTCCCCCACCCCTACTTCTCCAACCTGGATGTGGGAACAGCAGTGGCCTGTCCCCCACTGGGGAGGCCCTCTCCAGGCCAGGTGTGGGAGCAGGAGTTGTCTGTCCCGCACTGTGCAGGCCCTCTCCAGACTGTTACACACACACACACACACACACACACACCTGCAAGCCCTCTCTAGTCTGTCCTCCTGGGCAGGCCCTCTCCAGACTGTTACACACACACCCACCCCTGCAAGCCCTCTCTAGTCTGTCCTCCTAGGCAGGCCCTCTCCAGAC